AGCCTTGAGAGGAACGGCGATCCGGCTAGGATTCGGCCTAGGAGGGGTCATTAAAACTGGAGAGAAGGGGAGAAAAAGGGCCTCCAAGGGTGAGGATATAGACCTTCATACCATGGCGGTAGCAGAGGACTTGATTTGTTGCGGCCCAGTGCTCGTCGGTGTGGCGAGCGGTACCGACAAAGCGAGCAAGAACGCTTATGGGATAGGCAAGGTCAAGGCGGGTGCACATCATAGCGTACATCAGCAAACCGATGAGCTCAGCATAAGGATGGTCGGAGCACGAGGAAGCAGGAGGACGGGCAAGCTGGTGGTTGATTTGCAAGGGAGTGGTAACTGGTTTGACAGTGCCATATGGAACCGCTGCAATACTTGGTCAATGTAAAAGGATAGTGAGAGGGTAATGGTGCGCGTCGCGTGGTCCTGGGTGATGGTCATGCCCAGATAGTGCTTGAGCTCACCCAAGTCCTTGCACTTGAGGCGTGCATGCAGGGCGTCCTTCACCTCCTGCATGGCGGCAGCATCGCCAGCGAACAGGATCATGTCGTCGGCATACACCAAGATGAAGAAGCAGGTGGGAGAGGAGCGGAGGAAAATGCTGCATTGGACTGAGAGGCATTGAACCCCAGGGACTGCAGAGTGGTGGCCAGATTATGACACCACTCCTAAGGCCATAGTCCGGGCGACAAAGCTCCCAGACAGTGCTAGGAGAGAAGGCCACATGAAATCCTTGAAGCCGCCGTAGGAGGACCCGCTCCTAGAGCCGCCTGTGGCTCCTGCTGCAGCTCCGTTCGCTGCTGCTCCGTCTGCTACTGCTGCTGCTGCTAATGCGAGGAGGCAGAGTGAGCAGGGGAGTCAGGGACAGCTGGGTCATAAATGTTAGCGGAGGAAGGAGGAGGGGGGGGGAGAGGGAGCCGGAGAAAGGAGAAGAGCCTAGGGAAGGAGAGGGGGAATAACATCATCAGCCCAGGTGGGGGGTGGGAGGGAGGAGGAAGTGGGTCAGAAGGCAGAACAGAATTAAAGAACGGGATGCTCTCATCGAACACAATGTCACGGCTCTAGAGGAGGCGGCTTGAGGACAGGTTGAGGAAGAGATAACGAGAGGAAGAACAAGCGTGGCCAAGGTAGACACACTTGAGGGCCTTCGAGATGAGCTTCGCTGCCTACCTAGAATGGTCAAGAGGGCAGATGAGGACATATGCCTTGCAACCCAAGACACAGAGAATGGCATCATCTTGCTTGGTGATGGCCCTACTACGATCACTTGGAACCAACTCTCTTTGCAACGGCACGCATCAGTTATAGCATTACTACGGTATAGGACCGGTACACGTCTGCTATGTCAACCTCGCACGCTTGGTGGTTTCTTGACCTCATGGAGCAGTTATCATCGCTACTGGATGCTGCAGTGCAGCTGAATTCTACTTAGCGCAACTCAGGCATGGAATTATCACCATTCGCTATGCTACTCTGCAACCTGGAATGGAGCGTCACACATCCCAATACTTCAACATGGGATACCTGCTACCTGCACTCGTACAAGCTCACGAGTGTGTGGAAAAAACTACAGAGGAGCTACTGTTCAAGCACAACTTTGTTGGCTTGATTTTCTCTAACTACTTGGAGCCTCACAACCCTCAGTATTTGCTGAAAAACTGGGCACTTTCAACGTCTAGCCGGTTTTGAGGGGGGGAAGTGTGAGAGGATGAGGCTTGCCGAATCCTTGATCACACATGTGGCAGCAGTTCCGCACCGACCTGTTGAAACGTTTCGAACCAAGAATTTTCGGTTTCTTGCCTGGGAAAGAATTAATCGTCATCGACAGTTCAGGAGTGTAGCGCAGTACACCCAGCAGATGGAGGAATTTTATAACCGCATTCCCGACCTAGGGGAAAATTTGCAATCATACCTCGCCAAGCAAAAGACCGAAGTCAAACGACAAGTGGCAGCGACGAATGACTGTACGCGAGCTACAGTAACGTCTTATCGGCAGCGGGGCAGTTTGACATGGTCAATGCCATAACACGATGGGCGCATGTCAGCAGTACGCGATATGGCGAATGCTTGGCACACCCCACGTTCGCCGAACCGATGGAGATCGACAGATGCGCTGGGCAGCTACGACCGAAAAAAACCAACTTCACGTGCGACTTTTGCGGGGTGTCGGGCCCTCGAATCTTTGAAATAGAAGAAGGAAATTGCTTGTGATTGTGGATCTAGCTGGGAACTGAAAGCGGCCGCGACATCCGAAAAAATCAACTTCGACGAAGCTGATTCGACACGAGTAGGAGGAAATGATGGGGGAAAATCTCCACCCTACGACCAGTCTTTGCCAGGGAAAATCGTCGAGAAAAAATGACTCCGCAAAAGAAATACTCTGTTGAGACAGGGAAATTCCTAGAAGACCCAAGAAAGTATAAGGATTTGTTAAAGTTACCTTATAAAGATGCTTTAATGACAACTTATGATTCTCGAGGGGCTAGAGCCTTGGAGAAATTTCGGGAGGGACTCCAGAAGAAGCAGAACTTGGGAAAAAAAAAGGAGTATGGAGAGAAGTTGGCCTTTCCACAGAGTCAACGTTCTCTCCTGACACCAACCCACATCGACTACTTGCTCCCCAAGGAAGACGTTGGTGGAGCTGAAGCAGCTCAAGAGGAAGCTGGGGGTCTACAAGAAGCTGCAAAAACCCCGAACTCCTCCTTTGGATGCATCCATCTCAGCAACTTCGGCATGACGCGCCGCACATTCGTCCAAGAAATGGTGGGCCCTGGAGTAGAGCCTTTCTCCAAGCAGCCTCGCCCAGCTGCCAGCTCAGGAGTAGATAGCAATGAAAATGTGTGTATGGAATATGAGGGCATACCCTATTATCATATTAATTAAGCTATCTTTGGGTACTCCGAGCAATGCCTGCCCCTCGTGCTCGAGGTCATGTGCAAAGGGCGACGCCTCCAAGCACTTGTGGACTGAGGAGCATCGCACACTGTATGCGACAAGGCAGCAATCGACCGAATTGGGGAAGACTGCAAGCCTTCAACATTCTCTGCAACGATGGTGGACGGCAGCAAGTTACCAGTCTTTGGTGAAGCCGTGTTACACATACAAATCAGACCACTACGCTGGGAACCTGCCCTTCTCATCATCAATAGAAAAGGGTTTGACTTGATCTTCAGGAGAGAATTCCTTCAAAAAATCAACCCCGAAATCAGTTGGGTCTACCGCACTGCAAGCATCTACAACAACGGAAGGAGAGTCTAGCTACCAAACGGGGACGACACAGGAGAGTTTCCTGTGCAAACACTCGCCAGATTCGAGAAGGACATGAAACAATCTGACTCAAGGTTCTTGGCGATAGCAACAAGTGCAGAAGACGACGGAAAGAAAGCCTTGGAACCTCCAGAAAAAATCAAGGAATTAGTGAAGAAGTTTGAAGACATTCTTCCCGATAATCTTCCGAACGAGCTACCCCATACCAAAAGCACCAACACGAGATCGTGCAAGAACCAGGTTCGAAGCCGACCTTTCGAGCACTATACTGGCTCAGCCCTACAGAGCTAGCCAACATATAGAAACAGATCGAGTATCTCCTCGAAAAAGGACTCATCCATCCATCCACTTCACCAGACGGGGACCAAGTACTCTTCACACCGAAACCAAATGGAAGCCTGCGCATGTGCATCGACTACCGAGCTCTCAACATGCAGACCATCAAGAATAAATACCCTATTCCAAGAATTGATGACCTGCTTGACTAGCTTCGAGGAGCCACGGTATTTTCCAAACTGTATTTGTGGTCCGGATACTGGTAGATAAGAATAGTGGACAATTCCATCCACAAAACTGCCTTCCGAGCTCGGTACGGGTCATACGAGTATCTGGTAATGCCGGACTCAACAATGCACCAGCAACCTTCCAAGCCAAGATGAACCACATTCTACGCCCACTCTTAGACTAATGCGTGATGGTGTATCTGGACGACATTCGCATATAGTCGCGTGATATGAAGCAGCATATCGAACAGTTGCGATGAGTCTTCGACATTCTTCGACGGGAACGTTTCTACATCAATTATCCAAGAGCAAATTTGCCCTAAAAAAGGTCCAATTCCTATGACATATGGTGAGCGCTCAAGGAGTTCATGTCGACCCTAAGAAGATCGAAGCCGTATGCACGTGGAAGACACCCGAGAACGTGAAGGAGTTATAGCAGTTGCTAGGTTTCGCTAACTATTACAGTAGGTTCATGCGACAGTACGCGAAAATTGCCTCACCACCCACGAATCCGCTGAAGAAGAGCACGCCCTATCAATGGGAATCAAAACATCAAGAAGCCATGGAGCAGCTGAAACAGGCACTCACGTCGGCACCAAAACTCATCTTGCCAGACCCCTAACGCGACTACAAAATCCAAGCTGACGCCAGTAACCAGGCAGTGGGAGCAGTCTTAATGCAAGACCAGGGGAATGGACTGCAACCGATCGCCTATCTCAAGAAACTACACGGGGCAAAACTAAATTACCCGATACACGACGAAGAGGCCCTTCCTATTGTCATCGCCTTCAAAACACGGAGATGCTATCTCAAAGGATGAAAAACAATCGTCTACACCGACCACTGCAACCTGAAATATTTGAAGACATAGCCAAACCTCTCCAGGCAGCAGGTCCGATGGATTGAGTTCCTCGAGACGCACTTCCACTATGATATCATGTACAAGTTCGGCCACAAAAACAAAGCAGATGCTTTCAGCCGGCCTGCATACGTTGCCGCTATCCAAATCGAAGGGATGAATTCACTACTCAAGGGATGAATCACAAACGGGTAAACCATCAACCCCGAAATTCCCTTGGTAGAAAAGCGACATCTCCTACAAAGGAACGGTGATATTGCATTTTAGAAAGGATTAAAATAAATGTGGGTACCCAACTACCCACCTTTGCGCCAGTTACTGTGTTGTGTAATGTCATCATATGCTATCACATTCTGTCTGCCTCCCATCCCATGTTTTCAACTTGCATGTGTGGTTTGAATGTGCAAGCATTTGTGTGTGGTGTGTTCTGGAGTTTGGGAATGTGTTCTGTGTTATTTTTGTTTCAGTAGGTATTTGTGATAATAGATCTTGAGAAGATCTTTCCGACGCAACGAGAATCCCTTCAATCGGAGCAAGAACGCGAAAGCTATGAAGATTCAAAGTTCATAAGCTCGCGTTACAATTGCGGCGGTTACTAAGTGAAGTTGTGGGGTGAATTTATATGGAGTTGGGACCTTTGGGGTTGGGGAAACTTGTCACTCTACTGTAACAGCTGCAAATAGGTTGGGAACAACCAAGCTAGGTTGGCAAGGGTGGCCAACTTGGATGGATTGGTTGGGAAGGGACAAAGGTCAAAGTTGAGGTTCCTATAGGGAGGGAATCTTTGTGCTTATGGGGTTTCCTTGGTAGGGGACTCTCTTGGGACCTTCCCTCTCATCTCTCTCTTCTATCCCAACCTTTCTCTTGCTCCTTCTAATTCCTTGTGAGATTCTTGAACTTTGATTGAACTTTTGAGATTGAGTTAAGTTCTCCTCCTACAGCTTACCCCCTAATGCGTCGAAAGCCATAGCGTCGCGAATACTTCATTAATCAACGTGATTCAAATTGGGAACGGTAGCTGAGATTAAGAGCTACAACATATCCGAGTTTTGCGACATTCCAACGGCTAGGTTTTCGTCAACGTCGTTTCTTGTGAAGACGACTTTTCTGTCCAGAATTTCGGATTTATATTTTGAGTAATTCTAGTTCCTAAGTTCACCTAGACTCCGTCCTTAATCCTAACAAGTGGTATCAGAGCAATATTAAGGACATTGAGAGGAGTCTACAGAAGTGTGAAGACCCTTCTAGACCCACCATGGCCTGTGGGTGTGCCTAAGTGGTGTTCTAAAGGTTGGATGTGTCTTCCGCTAAGGGGAAACTCTGCCGAAATTTCGTGGACGCCGACACTTGTGAAAATATCGAGGGAGCTGAGTGTGGACAGCAAAGGGGAGCTGAAACTCGTCATTTCTCAAGGAGAAGATGAATGAGAGAGGAGGAGATGCTAATGGAAGAGGAGCTGTAGCTGAGAAGACAAGTGAGCCGCCGCCATCAAAAGTTGAAGCTTTGGATGGCTCCAACTATGAGGAATGGAGCGGACGGATGAGGAGTGCCTTCAAACGCTACAAGCTACTGAAGATTGCTGTTGGGGAAGAGAAGATGCCGGAAGAAGGCGAAGCACGTGAACGGTGGATTGAGAAAAGCGCGGTGCTTTTCGACCTCATCCTTCAATCGGTCAACAAGGAGATGTTCGAGCACATCAAGGATCTTGTGGAAGCGGATGATTCGGGTCCAAGGGCGTGGAAACTACTACGCGATGTGATTCAGCCCAACACTCTCCTGATGGTGATCGTGCTCGAGAAGGAACTTGCTGCCATCTCCATGCGACCAGGGGACGATGTGAAGCCGGTCCTTGACAAGATCAAGGACACCTATGCAAGGATGGCAGCAGCGGGCAGCAGTGTATCTCAGCTGCAGCAGTGCACCAAGATCATCTCGGTGTTGGACAACTCTTGGGACAACCTCATCCCCACCCTCAACTCTCAACAAGATCAATGGACACCTGAGTGGCTAAGGCAGCAGATTCTGCAGGAGGACTTCCGCAGACGCCATGTGGGAGGCGGTGCTGCCACTAAGACTGCTGAGGGGTATGGAGCTGCAGGGCGCGGCAGAGGAAGAGGGGGTTGGAGAGGCCGAGGCCGTGGGAGGAGCTTTGGCAGAGGTAGAGGCCGAGGTGACTATAATGAGGGGCATGGGAGCTCTAGTGGCAGGGGGAGTACCAGAATGGAGGGCACCTGCTGGTACTGCAAGAAGATAGGGCATCCTTGGTTCAAGTGCTTCAGCAGGCCGGAGGGATGGGCACCTCCAGGCATGAAGCCACCCAGTGGTGAACGCGCACAAGGTGGCGCTGTGCAAGGCTCAGGTGCACAAGGTGAAGGTGCACAAGGTAATGCCTATCCTGGTTTGTTTCTTATGGTTGAGGATGTGCATGGGCATGAGGGTGATGTGGGATCTGTGGGAAAGGTTGTGATGCACCCTCTCACGCACTGGGTGATTGATTCGGGTTGCACCAGTCACATGACCCCACGGGCAGATTTGCTTGATGAGGTAAAACCCCCTGGGAAGATTAAGTATGTGGCAGCTGCGTCAGGTGCTTTGCTCCCTGTCATTGGTGTTGGGAATGCCAAGGTTAAGGGAGCTAATGGGGAGCTTGTGGGGCTTGGGAATGTCCTGCTGGTTGAAGGTCTGTCTGCTAACCTTCTCTCTGTGCGACGACTGCAGAAGAGCAAGGCCGAAGTGACCTTTGGACCAACCAGCTGCCGTGCTAAGCTTGGGAAGAAGGTGCTGTGGAGTCTGGAAGAGGAGACCAGCTGCATCAAGGACCTGTGGCAGCTGCCCATCATCCCTTGGAATGGGAAGACTCCAACAGCAGCAACGGCAGCAGCGGCAAAGGCAACAGCACGAGGAGATGCAACTGCACCAACTGATGGGGTCCTGGAAGCAGTCAAGAAAGTGCAGAAGCAGCAGACACATGGTGAGGTGCTTGCTGGTGTGGATGCGAGTGCGGCATGGGCTAAGGCTTCATCAAGGAGTGGAGAGGCCGATTGGGAGACATGGCATGAGAGGCTGTGTCATGTGAACTTCCCTATGCTACAGAAGTTGGTGAAGGATGGGAGCCTGAAGGGCTTGGAGGTGAAAGGGGGAGTGAAGGAGATTGGGAGCTGCCCTACATGCTTGGAGACCAAGTTCTCCAAGTTCCCCTTCAACAGCACTACAGGACCAGCCAAGACCCCACTTGCACTTGTGCACATGGATGTGGTGGGGCCCACAAGAGCCCCTTCCCTCTCAGGCAGCCGCTATTTCTTGACAATTGTGGATGACCACACTCGGGCAGTGTGGGTTTACCCTTTGAAGAGCAAGGGGGAGGTGGCAGCGGCTGTCCTTAAGGAGTGGATGCCTAGAGCTCAGAGGGAATGCGGATACAAGGTGAAGGTGATCCGCAGTGACAATGGTGGGGAGTTCATTGGAGCTGATTTTGAGGGGGAGTTGAAGAGGAAGGGGATCCAGCATCAACTGACAGTGCCCTACAACCCGCAGCAGAATGGCGTGGCTGAGAGGTTCAACAGGACCCTGCAGGAGGGGGCACGCACTCTCCTTGGGTGTGCAGGGCTGCCTGATCCGTTTTGGGTGTCTGCACTGAGGCAGGTCGCCCTTGTGAAGAACAGGGTGCTGGCTACAGTTGGAGATAAGGAGTGGATCCCATATGTCAAGTGGTATGGGAGTGCTCCAGCTGTGAACATGCTGAGGGCATTTGGGTGCATGGTGGTGTTTCATGTGCCTAAGGAGAAAAGGGGGAAGTTGGAGGCTTCTGGAAGATGGGGTGTGCACTTGGGGATTGCAAAGGATCAAAAGGGGTGGCTGCTATGGGACTTGACCACCCAGAAGTCGACAGTGTCAAGGGATGTGAAGTTTCTTGAGTCCCTGTACTACAAGGAATGGAAGCAGCAGCAACAGAAGCTTCCATCTACACCACTCATTGTGGAGGCAGATGAGTTGCAGCAGCCTTCAAGGCAGGTGGAGGTTGCAGTGTCTGAGGAGGAGATGTCTGGGGTGACTGAAGAAGGGGGAGCAGCTGAAGTGGAGCAGCAGCAGCAGCAACATGAGTCTCCACCTCGAGTTCCACACCCGCCTGAGCGACCTAGGAGGGATGTGCGCCCTCCTGTGAGGCTGACCTATGGGGGAAGAGGCAAGCCAAATGTGGTGCAGGCTGGGAGTGTGGTTGAGCAGATTGAGGAAGATGAGATCGCTCACTGCTACTGGGCACCAATCCCTGAGCCGAAGACTCGAGAGGAGGCCTTGAATGGACCAAATGGGGAGAAGTGGAAGGCGAGTGAGGATGAGGAGTTCGGGTCCCTGATTGAAAACGAGACATGGGACATGTGTGACTTGCCTCCTGGGAAGAAGGCAATCACTTCCAAGATGATCTACAAGCACAAGTATGGACCTGAAGGGGAGCTGACCCGCTACAAGTCTAGGCTTGTGGCACGGGGGTTTCAACAGACAAAGGGGAAGGACTATGATGAGGTGTTTGCTCCTGTGGGGAAAGGAACAACACTGAGGGCGCTGTTGGCTATAGCTGCACTCCTGGGATGGAAGATACGGCAGATGGACATTGTGACTGCCTTTCTGAATGGGATCATTCTGGAGGAGGTGTACATGAAGCAGCCAGAGGGGCTGGATGATGGGAGCGGCAGGGTCTGCAGGCTGAAGAAGGCCATCTATGGCCTTAAGCAGGCGCCTCGTGCATGGTATCACAAGTTGGAGGAGGCGCTGCTGGCTGGGGGTTTCAAGAAGAGTGAGTGTGACCCCAGCCTGTTCCTGCTGCAGGAGAAGGACGAAATCCTCATGCTCTTGGTGTATATGGATGATATCCTTCTCTTTTCTGCATCAACTGCTTTGCTGGACAGCGCAGAGCAGATGCTGGAGATGCAGTTCAAGTGCTCCAAGATGGGTGAGGTGAAGTACTACCTGGGGATGCATGTGGAGAGAGATGTGGAAAAGGGTGTGCTGAGGTTGCACCAGAGGAAGTACTGTGAGGGGCTGGCTGAGAAGTATGAGCAGCTGGAAGCGGCCAAGAGGTTGGTCCGCTATGTGAGTGCTACGGCATCAGTGGGATTGGAGTACAGTGGAGTGAGGCAGCAGTTGCAGAGAGGTGCTGCAGATGTGAAAAGTGATGAGATGCTCTTGAGTTGCTATACTGACGCTAGCTTCAACTCAGTGAAAGCGGATGGCACCAGCATTGGGGGTTATGTGTGCTTGCTAGGAGGTGGTGCTGTGAGCTGGCGCAGCAAGAAGCAGAATGAGGTGGGATTGTCCTCATGTGAGACTGAGTACATGGCCTTATACCATGGGGCCAAGGAAGTGGTCTGGCGGAGGCAGATCATTGGAAGGGCATGAAGCTTGCTGGGATGAGTGTGCATTGAGTATGCATGCTTGAGATGTGGTATGGTGGATGATGGTTGGCAGCCAGAGGGGGAGATTGTTGTGTGATGTCATCATATGCTATCACATTCTGTCTGCCTCCCATCCCATGTTTTCAACTTGCATGTGTGGTTTGAATGTGCAAGCATTTGTGTGTGGTGTGTTCTGGAGTTTGGGAATGTGTTCTGTGTTATTTTTGTTTCAGTAGGTATTTGTGATAATAGATCTTGAGAAGATCTTTCCGACGCAACGAGAATCCCTTCAATCGGAGCAAGAACGCGAAAGCTATGAAGATTCAAAGTTCATAAGCTCGCGTTACAATTGCGGCGGTTACTAAGTGAAGTTGTGGGGTGAATTTATATGGAGTTGGGACCTTTGGGGTTGGGGAAACTTGTCACTCTACTGTAACAGCTGCAAATAGGTTGGGAACAACCAAGCTAGGTTGGCAAGGGTGGCCAACTTGGATGGATTGGTTGGGAAGGGACAAAGGTCAAAGTTGAGGTTCCTATAGGGAGGGAATCTTTGTGCTTATGGGGTTTCCTTGGTAGGGGACTCTCTTGAGACCTTCCCTCTCATCTCTCTCTTCTATCCCAACCTTTCTCTTGCTCCTTCTAATTCCTTGTGAGATTCTTGAACTTTGATTGAACTTTTGAGATTGAGTTAAGTTCTCCTCCTACAGCTTACCCCCTAATGCGTCGAAAGCCATAGCGTCGCGAATACTTCATTAATCAACGTGATTCAAATTGGGAACGGTAGCTGAGATTAAGAGCTACAACATATCCGAGTTTCGCGACATTCCAACGGCTAGGTTTTCGTCAACGTCGTTTCTTGTGAAGACGACTTTTCTGTCCAGAATTTCGGATTTATATTTTGAGTAATTCTAGTTCCTAAGTTCACCTAGACTCCGTCCTTAATCCTAACATACTGCTCGAAGAATACCAAGATGTCCTGTATGCCGGACACTTCGGTAGCAATAAGACGCTCACCAGTACTGCAACGCACCACTACTGGCCCCATATGACAGACTATGTACAGAAATTCATCACCTCATGCGACACATGTCAGCGGATGAAGAGCAGTAAGCGAAAGAAAGCAAGACTGCTACAGCCTGAACCTGTCCCAGAACAGCCATGGCAATGAGACGTCACAACTGTTTGTACGTACATCATCTCCCAACATGGCATTCCAACCACACGCATCTCCGACCGAGACCCTAAGTTCACCAGCAAGTTCTGGAAGGAACTGATGTCTCTGCTCGAGATCAAACTCGCCATGTCATCTGCATACCATCCTCAGACAGACAGACAAACCGAACGCGTCAACCGAATCGTAGAGCAACTCCTTTCTCTGTTACGGACGCAACCCACTTACACCACAGAAACAGACAACACCAGCAAAAATTCAACCCGCACATTATTTCATCACCACCATGCATCAACTTAGGGATCGGACCCACGAGGGCCTCATCCATATTCAGCAGCAACAAAAGCACCAGGCCGATCGCCACCACAATGACCACACCATCACCATAGGAGACCGAGTTCTCATAGTTACCCGTAATCTTGACATCAGCCATCTCCTATCCAAACTGCGACCTTGCTTCTATGGGCCCTTCCTCGTTGAAGCACATGTCACCCCCGTTATCTTCCGCTTACGCTTGCTAGCTAACTGGAATATTCACAATGCCTTTCGTGTGCAACTTCTGAAGCTCTGCCGAGATCCCAACACGATCTTTACTGGATGCCAACCGCCGCCGCCACCGCCCATCCTCGTCCATGACGAAACTGGGTACGAGGTCGATTCAATGCTTGCACACCGCCGTCATCGGAATGGCTACCAGGAGCTTCTCATCCGTCGGAAAAGTTATGATCCTTCTCAAAATAGCTAGGTCTCTGGATATGATATGGGTAACGCCCGTCGTCCTCTTCGCGATTACCTTGTCAAGCCGGGTGTTATTTCTACCACCTAGTTTTGAGGGGGAGAAGTGTGAGAGTACGACCCTGTTACACTTCTTTCTCATTTCTATATTTCTTCTCTATCTCATTCTCGTTTTTATCTTGATTCATTTGGTTTCATGAGTTAGAATACTAGAACGGTTAGAAACAAGAAAGAACAAGCAAGATATAGGGTTGGGTTGTACTCTCTAAGAATATACACCTATTATAGCCTATAACTACTACATGCAGAATGTATGCATAAGTTGACACACCCCCTAGGCTAGATAAGGGGTAGTGCTGAGCAAGAAGCACACAGCTCAGGGTGGCACTACTAGTCCAAGGTGGTCGACTACGTTCACCCCAGGTGGGGGAACTGCATCAACGTAGGTGCCGGTGGATCTCTAAAATGCCATCTCCTGCTCCATGGCAACTATCCACTGAGAGGCCCCAGCGTAAGTGGAAGGGGTCGGGATGTCAAAGGCGTGTGGGTCACCCTCAGGACCTAGCAGCATGGAGCAGAGATGGGGAGTAGCCTCGAACAGGAAAGCGAGCTCGTACTGTGTGTCCTCTTGGATGTCACTCCCAAGGGCAGGATCACCCCCGACGGACGGAGGATGGACAGGGTCAGAGACTAGAGCGATGGTGTAGTCAAGGCGGCGGGTAGAGGCAAAGTCAGCGACAGCAGCGACAAGAGTGTCAAGCCTCGAGAGAGGAACAGACGGGCCGTTAACAAGGGAGGCAAGGACCCGAGGAACAAGAGGACGAGATGCACGAAGGTAGTCAGACAGAGAGGGAGGCACGACAGCAAGCAACAACGGAGGAGGCGAAGGCAGGAGGGGAGGACGAGACGTGTGGGAACGAAGCAACATAGGGTGAGAACGCTGAACAAGGGAGACAGGACGAGCACGAGAGGGACGGCAAGACCAGACGTGATACGGAGGCGTCGGGTCAGGAGACAGAGGAGGAGTAACAGGAGGGGAACGAGGTGGGAAACGAGCCGGGGACGAATCCGACGGAGGAAACACAGGACCGTGGACAAGAAGGGGAGGAGGCGGCGGGGGAGGCGCAGGCGAGCGGTCATGGGAGGTAAGGCCGAGCAGGCGAAGGGCGGACACCGGCGGCGACTGCTGCTGCTGCTGCTCGACGCCGACACCTGAACCGCCAGCTGCACCACGGCTACCTCTGGAACACTCCACTCCAGCACCCCCAGAACGAGCACCCCCAGAGCAAGAACCCTCTCCAGCACCGGTGCCATGCCCCGAGCCATCCAGGACAAGCCACGACAGGAACCCCAGGACTAGCACCCTCCTCAACGCCAGCACCCCAAGAGGCCACGAACGGCTGCTGCTGTGGCAACGGCGGTGACTGCTGAGGTGGCGGTGGCTGCGGCGGCGACGACTGCGGCAGCGGAGGAGACACCTGGAGAGTGACGTGAGACACACCAGATGGGGAGGAAGGTGAGTAGGGGCTACCGGGGGAGTGGGAACCAGAAACACGGGAGGGGAAACTGGGAGACCACGGTGGGGAAAGCGGTGGTAAAAGGAGACAAACTTGTCAAACGTGGCGTCACGAGAGTGAAGGAAGCGGTGAGACAGCGGGTGGTAAAATTGCCAGTCAGAGGAGTCCAGGGGGAAACCGAGAAAGACACAGAGAACAGTGCGGGCAGTGAGCTTGTCCGGGCCAGAGGCACGAACGTGAGCAAGGCAGCCCAAGACGTGGAACGCGGATGCGTCACCAGGGAACCCGGTCCAAAGAAGGGTCGCCGAAACTTGCGGCCGCTGGGAGCGCGGACACAGGTTAAGCTAGTGAGCGGCATAGCGAACGGTGAATGGCCACAGAAAATGGGGTGCACCGGCATGAATCATGGAGATACGAGCCACCTCCATGACCAAGCCGATGCGTCGCTCAGCGACCCCATTCTGCTGTGGGAGTCCGGTAGGGTGTACGATTGGGTGATGCCCTTCGCACGACAGATTTTCCCCGGCCGACCAGAGGCGAACTCGTCGCCATGGTCACAGTGGAGACACAGCATAGGGAGACCGCGGTGGAGGCACGCAGCTACGACCCACGGGATAAGAACGTCGGGCACGTAAGTCTTTAGCTCAAAGGGATACACCGTGGTGTAGCACGTGTAGTCATCAACGAGCACTACAAAGTAGCGCTCGCGACGCAGACAAGGGACGGGGGCTGGGCCCCAGACGTCCAGGTGGAGAGTCTGGAGGGGTGCGGTGGCAGGACAAAGCGAGGAGGAGTGAGGAGCATGGCAGAACCGGCCCATGATGCAAGGCGTGCACGGCACTGCCAGCGAGGGAGGGAGGGCAGGAAGCGACGCTAGAGACCTAGGGCGAGACTGTGCTGGGACATGTGACGCAGACGCGGGAGTGCGGGGTGACCTAGGTGGTGGTGCCACATAAGCGACGGGTGAGTGAGCCACCGACACGAGCACGCAGCGTCGACCTGGGTAGACGCAGAACTCGAGGAGGACGCCCCACCTGGGGGGAAAGCAGTGTCCAGCGTAAAAAGGCCAGACACGTGGTCCCGGGGGAATCTTGCAAGGGGGAACCCTAAGGCGGCCTCGGTATAAACAGCGTATCGCTCGTGACCTGGGAACGTAGTGGTGACGCCGAGGTCCTGAAGACAGCCGACACCGACTAAGTTCCGGGAGAACGAGGGGATGTGCAGGTCTGAAAGGGAACCCAAGGGGAGTGCTGGACCGCTAAGAGCAATTAAAGGACCAGAGGAGGGGTCAGCAAGTGCGACGGCGGCAGGCGCGGCAAACAACGTAAACACAGCGTGGTCGCGGAAGAAGCACGCAGACGCACCAAAATCAAGTGTGAAGGACAACGAAGAAGTAGCGGCAGACGAAGGAGGAGCGAAAATGATGAAGAAAAATCTCCACCCCACGACCAGTCTTCGCCAGAGAAAATCGCCGAGGAAAAATCTAACCCCGCGCAAAAGGACTCTGTCAAGACAGGGAAACTCCTTGAAGACCCAATAAATTATAAGATTTTGTTAAATTTATCTTATAAAGATGCTTTAATGAAAACTTGTAATTCTCGAGGGGCTAGAGCCTTGGAGAAATTTCGGGAGGGACTCCAACAGAAGCAGAAAATTATGGAGATCGTACCGGTACCTGAGAACTTGGGGACCAAATTCAGGAGTGTGGAAAGAAGCCAACCTTTCCACAGAGTTAACGTCCTCTACCGACACCAGCCCGCAACGACTACCCGTTCCCCAGAGAAGACGTCGGTGGAGCTGAAGCACCTCAAGAGGAAGCTGGGGGTCTACAGGAAGCTGCAAAAACCCCGAACTTCTCCTTCGGATGCATCCAACTCAGCAACTTCGTCAACGATACGAACAGTCGTTACGGAAACTCCGGGCCCTGGAGAAGAGCCTTTCTCCAAGCAGCCTCGACCAGTGGCCAGCTAAGGAGTAGGAAGCAACGAATATTGAGATGTACCCTATGACCCAATCAATGAAACTATCTTTGGGTACTCCGAGCAACGCCTGCCCCTCGTGCTCGAGGTCATCTGCAAAGGACGATGCCTCCAAGCGCTCGTGGACAGCGGAGCATCGCACACCATATGCGACAAGGCAACAATCGACCGACTTCCAGAAGAGTACAAGCCATCTGCGTTTTCTGCAACGATGGCGGATGGCAGCAAGTTACCAGTACACGGCGAAGCAGTGCTACACCTACA